ATCAGACGACCTAGATCAAATCGCGAAGAACGGTCCAGATCTATTTCCGATTTAAATACGATCAGATAATTTAGATCAAATCGCGATCGGATGGTCCAGATCAAACGCGATAGACGATCCAGATTAAAAAAAGACAAATATAAATAATCATCTTCACACCAAACCCTAACCCTAACCGTCAAACTCCCTCGTCGGAAAAGAAGAGCTGGTCGCCGGGAAAGGAGCCAACTGCCACCTGCTGCCGCGCCGAAACCATTTTCGACTGCCAAAAGAAGAAAAAAAATTTTAATTCGCTCGAAATTCAATTTTGAACACCCTCATGGCTAAATTGGAGCAAAACGACCAGCAGATGAGCTAAAAATCGCGGACAAAGCGTGGCGGCGCCACTGCAGGAAAAAGCAAAAACGGCATCCAATAAAGCCCTTCCCAATTCTCATTTCATGTAATTTTTCCACCATTGTAATCACCATTCTTTTCTTAACAGGTTGACCGAAGCAAAACACTCAACCGCGAAGGTGAGCCGGCAGAGCCGCCGCACCGAAAAACTCCACTACCAGTAAGCTTCAGTTTTTTGACTTTTTTCGGCCAACCGAAATCCCTTAACGTGTTTTATCACAGGAATGGGTACAAAACTAGCCGAAAACAGCCAACCAGAGGTAAATCGCCGCTATGGGAGGCGGTACCGTCGCTGGGAGCACGATGGAGCAACTGTGCTGGAATTCTGAAATTGGCCAAAACGGGTTTCTAATACTGATTTCGGACTTTTTGAGATATTTTTAGGTAGTTGAAGTGTGTTTTAATCCCCGAAGAAAAATTCAGGGAACCCGAGAACCACCAATGAGCGCGACTAAAAGTTTAGCATCTCATACTATAATTTGCGTGAGAATCTCTCATTTTATTTCTTGTTATAGAATTGAAGTTTAATTAATAATAATACAGTATTTTTGTAGTTTGAAAATATTCATAATTAATATTGTACTAATAGAGTCAGACTGGTTATTTATTACTGTATACCCAAATATTTTTTGATAATTTTATTTTATTT